CAAACAGACAAAGCATAAGAACAAAGAGACTGTTCTATACCTTATTTATGTGGAAAAACTAAACATAAAAGATAAAAGTTTGAAATATAAAAAAGGGATGGTGTATCACCAAGATATACACAACCACAGATGTTAAGGAAAAGCTGGGAAAAGCAAAGAAATACACTTAATGTTTTGACTGCATTAACTGTATTCAAGCAAAAGGCAGAGTCTTTTCACACRGTGCATAACGTAGCTTGGTACTTGCTTCAGGAAAGCATAGTTCATACTGAAAGGAATATGAACAGGTTCACCAAAATTTAAATTCAGTATTGGTATGAAGATACAAGTAAGCACAACTCTTGCCTTAATTCAAAGAATAACCCCAGAATGGAGTTATGGGATTATTATATGTAGAACTGCTAGCCTGGGTGTAGCACATTACAGCCACAGTGGCYACACGACAGGTGCAGCTCTGGAAGCAGCAGGCTTATACAAATGCACTGAGGCTTTGAGCKGGCAAACCTTTCTTAGGCTGGAAATCCTGGCAATGTACTGAGAAGACACCCAAATTAGATTTTAGTTTGTGATCTTTACATGAACGATTTCAAAGCTGGTTATTTGGGGTACAGTGCTTAAAACTATCCACATGTAGCTACAAAATATTGACAAGTTCTGCAAAAATCAAAGTAAGTGACTTTGAGTCACTATCAAATCAGAATGCAATACATTCCCACAAAAGCAGTACCAAAATTTGGTGGAAGTCAGACTCACTTGGGAGGGGAAATTTTTTACATCAACCTTTTTCCATAACTTTTGTAAGAGGTGGTCACTGTTCCCACCGGGTCTAACTGGRGCGAATAGACTCACGCTTCTCAGGGAGCACAGCCCCTGTTCATCACAGCCGTCTYACAGCTCAGTGCCCACGCTTTAAAATAACGGGAAACAACTATGGCTGATGCCCTGAAGAGTAAATTGTGCACCTATCCCCTGCCATGCCACCAAAATTCACAGTCAAAGCCATTTTAAAGGCATTTCTAAGCTGCGTGACGTAAATGCAAGAGTCTTACCTATGCCAGATATCATAAAACTTATACTTTCCATCTAAAAGTATCTCTATATATCAGATGTTGGCTTAAGAACACATGATCACGGACTTCGGGATCAAGCAGATTTCCAAGCAGTTACACTTGTCAATGTCAAGTAATGCAGTCTAATTTGGTCAATCTAKGGGCCCCGAAGGATGTACAGCCTGCAACTAGACTCCTGATGAAAGGGTATAGCCAAAGCAAATACACAGGTCGGCCAGTTTTTCAGTTACTCTGCAAAGAAGTCCAAGTAGTTACTGCCATAATGATAGAAGAGCAGYAAACAAGGCAGTCTGATGAGTCATACACACAGGTCGCAATCAGGCAACGGATGCTTAGTCTAACTGCACGCACTATAATATAGCCAAATGCCAGATCATATACTCAGGAACAAAAGAAATAGCCAGTCATGACAAAATATAGGACTTTATCACGGAAAACGTGAAGAGTGAAGACAACTGAGATGCTGGTAGCTATTCAAAGAGGAATTACTAATAAAAACCTATARAATGAAGGGCAAATATAATTTCTAAACATACCAACAACTGAATAATAGGCAAGGATAACAACAGAGTAGGATTTTTGCATTCAGAATTAGTGAGATGATTCCTGCAAAACTGTACCTTTAAAGGAAAGAGTTTGTAAAAGGACTAAAAAAGTGCTGAAAAAATATACCCTAGAGAAGAAAATATGAGACAGAACTGCAATTCTTAACTTTATAATCTAAAAAGGAGACAAAGATTCTCTCTCCAGATTCCAGGTGAATCTTTAAGCTATCAAAAAGTGATGTAATAATATCTAACTGATAAATTCCAGGATGAATAAAACTCTGCCTGGAAGACATACTAAAAAAAAAAAAAAAAAAAAGAAAAAGTCAGGATGATTTACCCCTGGAACAGCTTACAAAGGAACGTAGTAAAGTTTCCATCACTTCCAGTATGGACATCTTTCTAAAAGACATGCTATAGCTCAAACAGAAATGAGAGATTTAAGGCTGGAAATACCTAACAGTTCCCTGATGTGCACTATGCAAGTAATACAATGAACAGGAGGGAGCAGTCTAATTCCCAAAAGCCTGAACTCTGGAGCAGAAAGGTCCTTCTCGTGTTAGACAGGTAGCAGTGGCAAAAAAAAAAAAAAAAAAAAAAGAGGCATCATCAACTAAAAGCTCCAGGAAGGGCCCTACAACCCTCTTCTGAACCCTCTGCTGAAATTTCAGAGACCTTACCAACTAAGCTGCAAGCACTGCCCCCTTCCTTTGTAGGGGGGAACATGAACAAAAACAGCTGTTTTACATATACACAGTTACCTGCTTCACAGCACCCAGCCTGCTGCATAGATACACACAGTAAAACTACTTGCTTAGTGTGAAGAGCAAGGATATGGAGACTGGTCTTTGTGATTCCCAGTATTTGAGATTGGTACCAATGCCACACAGCGGAACGATACTAGTGCTACTTTGAAAGCTAYTACTTGAATGTTCTTGTCTGATGACAATTACAGGAGCTGGCTGGGAATTGTGCCGTATTGTACATAAAAGCCACTGCAAGCTCATTGTATCATGAGTTCAACAGAAATGAGGATGTTTTAGTCAGACTAATAATCAGTACATCTGACAACCTGCAGCTGCTGGTAACCTGCAGATGGAAGGGGATCATCTACCTACTATCTTTCTGTTACTACTCTTAAGAACCTTCACATAGTGTCAGGGAAAATATTTTCCCCAAGAGATACTATTAGGGCACTGAAAGACAATGTGACATTTGAGAACTATGTTACACTAGAAGACTAATAGATATGAGAAATATGTTTGCAGTGGAAGGATGCTGTCTAGGTCTCACGGGAGGTTGGAAAAGACAGTTTAAACATCTCTGGTACATTCCTGCTACTATTCTGGTCATAGGCAAACACTTTTCAAAGAACAGAGAGGCAATTAAAAATGAASTTTCATACTGGGACAAAGTGCAAGAATGTTCTCTAAAATGAGAATATTTATGCCAATAGCATCTGTCTTGCCTATAGCTTTTTGTTCTCATATTATATAAAAATCTTGTTTAACTATATGGGTTTTCTCCTTTTTAGTCCAGTTTCTGCTTAATCTTAMAGTTTTCCTAACTTGCCTGGCAATTGAGCAATGCTGGAAATGCACCRAATTGTAATTTCGGTGTTTGTGTAAGTGCAAAAGACACAAGAACAAGGATMTGGCACAAATAAGGAAAGAAATCTCAACTTCAAGGCAAGTATAAAAAAGAAAATGTGAAAATTCACCACACTAATGCACTACTGTGGGTTTCTCACAGAGAACAGCTTCTTCTCTCATTCCAAAATTCTACTATTATCCTGGCTTGAYCCACATCTCAGTAGCATCAGAAACATCTCAAGTTTCTGCCTCAAACAGCCCTTCTTGTCAGACAAATATTCCCCAATTCATTTACTATGCTGGCCAGATCACTCCCCTCTTTGTACTGCGATATGAATTCCATACATTTTTTCCATCTTTATTCCCATTGTTCCCATTTATCTTTTTTCCATCTTTATTCCCATTGTTCCATGATTTCCTATGGTGATTTTTACAATTCTTTCTATAGCTAAGAAGAGGAAAAAGGAAAAAAAAGTTCCATCTTCTAATCATATTTATGGTTACCTATCCAGTCATCCTTTGAGATGAAAAAGCATTATCACTATTTTCCCTTGCTCTCAGTTCCATTATCCTTTGACAAACCCCTGACCCATAATGGTTATTATTTTAATGCTATCCTTCATCAAGATTTTTGTAGGAGGAAATATCTATTTTTAGAACTGTATCACTAAGCAATTTCTACTGTTTACAGGAAGAAGTTCTTCTTCCAGAGTTAGGTTGGTATCGAGACTATGATGTATTCTTTAGAAAATGTAAATCATAGTCTAGAATATTTTCTGGCTTCTATGCTACTGAAAGCAGACACTTTCAACAGTTCTACATGACCTTTAAAACATGCCTGTAACATGTAAGTTCAGTAAGCCAGTGACAAAGAAATGTTTTATACAGGAGGGGAGGGGAAAAAGTTAAAAAAAAAAAATCACTTGAGAATATAGGAACAAGATACTTTACCAAGGTGGAACTGCTCTGAGAAGTGTGATGTCCAGTCTTTGAAGGAGACTCTGGCCCATGTGACTTATTTCCTGAATTCAACAGAAAAAAGGTATCTCCAAGAAAACAGTCTTCTTTCTGAGGCTGCAACACACTTCTGGCAAAGGGGTTAGGGTGGCAACACCATTCTTCTACTAAAGCACTCCAATTTTCACTTGGTAGAGGAAGAACTCTGAGAAATTTCCTGAAAGGAAAAGTGAAAAAAAAAGTCTTCAATATCACAAGCTTCAATATATCACAGACTTTTCTTATACATGAACAGAGGGTCTGGGTGTCTCGCACACACATTCTCTAAAAGAAAGCATTTAACTTGGTCTAATGGGTGACAAAGAGCACCTCCTTAACTTAAGCCATTGCTTTCATATTGCTACATATTCCCTTCATATTTCTCTCATCTGCTCTAAGATGCCTGAAATGATAGGGATTCCACGGACCTCCAAAGCAATCTCCAACAGTTAAAATGAGTATCAGAACAAAACTGTTTTCWTTTTCTCAGGAAAATTCTTGCTGGGATAGAAGACCACCACTCCATCTCCACAGCAACTTTTTATATATTGAGAGACCTGGTTCCTCCACATTGTCTTCATTAAACAAAATTTGTCTCAATCTTTTCCTCAAAGTTATTACTTTCTAGCTCTTAGATTGTTCTTAGTACAGTCCCCCTCCAGGTAATTCACATCAAGTTTTCCTCACACATTAGACACCATGCTGTCACAGCATAATCCCTATCTCTAGGATGCTACTCACGGACCAAAACAGGAAGCTGTTGTTTCTAAGAGTATCAACTACGCCACTGTCTTTGACAACACTGCAGTGATATCAAACATGAAGGTGCTGGGTACACTGCCAGTTCCAGCCTTTATCCTTTTCTCAAATAATAATATTATTATTTCTTTTTAGTGATAAGACTCAAGGGGTTCAGAGATTCCCTGCAAGGATAAATGCCTAATAAGCCATTAACATGCTTTCTTTTTCCATTTTATAAGTTCCAAGCGCATCATACTGTAGACTGCAGAACCAAGAGATGAAGCCTCTGTGCATGTGAACTGCTACACTGAACTTCACCAAAATTTCTGCTCAGAGAAAAGTAAATTCAAAAGGTGCAGTATCATTTACTAGAACTTTTCATTATACTACRGATATATCAAAATAGAACAGGAGTTACTGCAGAACATCCTGATTTTCTAAACAGAGAGTCAGCAAATCATCATTTGTGCTCAAGCAAATTCTAAATCTCTAAGGATGACAATAAAGTAACAGAAGTTTGGAGACTACGCTACACTGGTATTTACCATTTTGGATATTAGCAGTGATACAAGTCATAAAAGGCTACAAGTGGGTCTCTAAAACTGTATATTCTTCGCTGAAGTGGTCAAGAATTCTCACCACAACAGCTAAGGACTGCAGCAGTTTTGACATAAAAGTTCCCAGGCAATCTGTAAACTCAGTGAGGAACAAAGATAAGGCTGAGTCACACRGTTAAGATACAGCTTCTGCACTTCCCAAATGCAGTATCCCTCAACTGTCCAGAAGTTGGCTTTGCTTAACAGATATAAGGGAAATATTGCCAGCATCCTCTTCCTAACCAGCCACTCTGCAACTACAGAAAAGAGGAGATGCTCCCTGAGGAGAAGTTAYAGGCTATGGAGGAGATGTGCCAAAGATCCCTAAACTGCAAATGAAGAAAGAAGTTTAGGCTCAATGTCTCAGTTTTATCCCCTTCAATGTAACTAAGATTATATTAAAGATATTAATAGACTACAAGTCTTTTTAACATCATAAAACCCCAAAGCGTCCGATTTTTCCACTTTATTTGTGGTATTTCCAGTCTGAAATACTACAGCTTTCTTTATACAGCAAAAGGAGAAGCTAATTATCAGTGCAAAAAGTTGCCATATGAATGAAAAACTACAGATTGCAGAGCAAAAGTCAGCAAGAGATACATCTTTATTGTACACATCATACAAAACATAGCCACAAATAGAAATGCCTCCTTTATGGCAGAAAATCAGGAGAAAAAAATAAATCTATATTTCCCAACTTGCAGATCAATGCTCTAACCACTGTACCAAACACTCCGTGATCTACTTTACTTTCCAGCTGGAATGACATCAAGAAGCAGATGAGTAAATACTGCAAAACTGTTTCAAGCAGTTTTGATTTTAGCCATCTGTGTATTTCAAAAGTGTTCTCATTTACTATTTTTAAAATAAATGTTTTAGTTTCCTAAGCACAMAACATAATATGAAGAGCAATTACCATGGCACTTTTTGCTATATATACACAAGACACTGCAGTACTCACCCTTCTTTCTTTATGATGTCTCCACAGCATTGGCAGTAAAAGGTGTAACTCTTCTGGGGTTTCAGGCTTTCACTCAAGGTGGAAACCAATTCTATAGAGAGAAGAAGACCTATTAAACTTGGCACTTGTGCGAAATATTTTCCTATTTCTACATAAAAATCCTTTCAAACACCCCAAACTGAAGATAAGAATCTAACAACTAAAGCAGAACTCCTAAATATTAAACACAGTCTTAATGCATTTACTTGTAGGAACAAGCAATTATATTCAGGAAGAGCTTGCCACTTCCATTCTCAGGCTTGGCACTGCTGAACTGCATATGTGAGATGACACTTTAATACTGCAACCCATCCTCAATTGAAGTCATCACAAGACATCCAAACTAAAACTCAACATTAGCCTTTTATAACGATAGCCCTGCTAATCATCATCTCTGCGCTATGATGTTGTGTCCCAATATAGACACAGAATACTTACAGAAGGGGAAAATACATACTATATATATTATATATATACACACATATATATTATGTATATTTATATATACATATATATATATATATATAGTGTGTGTGTGTCTCTGTGTGTGTGTGCACGCGCGTGTGTTTTCAGTCAGGAAAGAAACAGCCACAGCTGAGCCACTCAAGCTAAAGAAAGCAAACACTACCCTCTACAGGCCAAAATGAAAAGTCTCTCAAAAGGCAGCTTTTTCCCTCCAAAACCTCGTTCTTCCCCCAGTTAAAAATGGGATTGGAGAAAATTCTACAAAGCACTGAGTATCATTAGACAGGAGGAAAAGAACTGTCAGCCTAACTCTGCACAAGCTGGTTTGGCATTGCCCACTTCCTGAAACACAGGAATGATATTCTCAGCACAGGCTTTCAGAATTAATAACTAGGATATACTTACAAATTATAMGTACTTTAAAGGGTTCCAGAATATTAAATGAAACTTTTTTTCATATTAATATAAAATATTGAATATCAACATATAAGGCCATCCAATGCTAAGCTGAACACAAAAGAGAAGGGGAAAAAATAGAATCACAGAACGGGTGAGGTTGGAAGGGATCACTAGACATCATCTAGTCCAACCYGCTCTGCTCAAGTAAGGGCACAACAGCTCCAAGTCCTATGGAAAAACATGGAAGGGCTTCAAAAGCAGGTCTCAAACTCCTGCGCAAACTGTTTTTATTCAACTATAGTGTCTTTCTTTTGCATCACTCTCAGCCATGCTTGTCAAAAGAGATAACTGCTGAATTTAGAGTGGCACAAATCAGCTCCTGTTTCAGTKGTGTACTCAAAGCTATAGAGCCTTTCAGAAAGGCTATACACAAGGCACACCATGAATTCGACTTTTTTTTTTTTTTAACTGCAGAATGTAAATTTTACAGTCTCTCTTTACATAATAGTTAAAATATTGATGGTTCACACCTCCCTAACCAGATCAGCTTTTTTTAAGGAACAGCCTCAGAGGAGTTTTCAGGACAGCATTAGACCAACATGCTACCCCAGAGCCTGCTCCAGCCTTACTGGTGCCGGAGCCCACGTGCACCTGCAGCCTCAGGTGCAGCCCCTCGCCAGGAMGGTAGCGCAGCCCACGGCAGGAGGACGGGACAGCCCTGGTGCCCGCCGGGAGCATCACCGCCGTGCAGGCCTCTCCACGCCGCACTTCTAGCGAGGCTGGAGTTATCAAGACATCCACCGGCAAGGTCCTGAGGTTTGCTTCCCTGGGAAGGTAAGCACAGAGATTTACTTCAGAGAAAAACTGATACCAAGAGCTGTAATTCCATACCTACAGCACTGGCTTAGCCATACACACCAAAAAATCACCTGAAATAACTTTAAGATACATGAGCCAGATAGCAGTTCACACAGCACTGTGCTACATTAAAGAGTACGGATACAATTAGAGATTTAAGATAAGCTTCAATGCATCATTCACAAGACACAGTTATGGGTCTGCAAATATGTAGGCACTTCCTGCATACATTATATCACACAGGTCCCTTTTCTCTCAATCCATCCTGTATCTCACACACACACATCCAAAAGCAGGGGCTCTGGCGTGATGCATTTCCTCGGGGCGGGAAGGGAAGCCTATTGCCGGGGGCAACCTCAAACGGCCGCGTTTTCCACTAACGCCAGGCAGTAAAGGCGCTACCCGGGATGAGACCGTGCAGCCGGGGCCAGGCCCGCCCCTGCCAGGCACCGCGCRGGGCCCGGCACCACCGGAGACAACCCCCTTCCCCGCAGCCCAACGCAGGCGGCCGCGGCGGGGCCAGGGAGGCAGTACCCGATCACCAGCAAGGCGCTCTGCATGCTCCGCCGGATCTCCAGCAACAGCAGCGCAGGCRCCATGCCGCGCCGCGCCGCCTTAAACGGCCCCAACGGCCCGCGCGCGGCAGCGGAAACGCCCCCAACGGCGGCGGCGCGACGCGGGAAACGCCCCCAACCGCTCGCGCGCGGCACGCGAAACGCCCCCAACGGYGGYGRCGCGACRCGGGARACGCCCCCAACGGCGGCTGCCCGCCCTGGGGAGCCGCAACGTTTAATGGTTTCGTTCTTGTGGCGAGTTACTTGATAGTGTCACCTGCAAAGCTTCAAACAGGCAAACCCGCACATCTTAATTAGAGAGCAATTTATTATCTGAGGTGCGAGTGTTGCCATCTTAGTCCTTAGAAGTGGTTTTCCTCTTTTGAGTTAGCAATACTGAGCGGATTTCTTAGAAGTGCCTTAAAGAAGTTGGTAAATACAGATGTTTTTGTAGGAAGAACATGGCAGAAAAACACTAAATTTCCAGCCAAGTGATTTTTTAAATTATAATAGTGCAGGAATTTATTCAAATACTGTAAGACACCGACTATTCTAATTGTCTATTACAGCCTGTAGCCATTTTGGGGGTAGGGGTGAGAGTTTGCTTTAAAAGAAAAAAAGAAAAAGAAAAAGAAAAAGAAAAAGAAAAAGAAAAAGAAAAAGAAAAAGAAAAAGAAAAAGATTCGCATTTGCACCTACTTCCCTGACCCAAGTACCAATGAGATGTTCCTGTGCTCCAAGTAAGCAGATCACACAAACTCCAGTAATTCACCCGGCCATTCCGGTGGGAACCTGCTCCCAGTGTGCGCAAAGTCAGGGCCTGAAGCCTTTTCTCTAAGGCGCACACAAAGGTACAAAGGTTTCTTCAAATATTTTGCCAAAATGAAGACTAGCTGCTAATCTGACACGTAATTGAAAAGGGAGATGCTCAGAAGATCCAGGGACGCCTTTCAAGGCCAAAATTTCAAGCCAAATCAACCAAACTGCATAAATTCACAGAACAGGGGGCCACAAAAGTGCAACTTGTGTAAAGCTCTGGATATTTTGAGACCATTTCTGAAGCCGCACAGACSGGGGAAGCCATTAACGCCATTCCGCCACAGGAGGCCGCCGGTCGCCTTGCAGGCAGCACGGGATTCTTGGAAAGATCGCACTAATCCAGGGAGACTTCCCCTTGGCATTAGTTCAAGAACCCCCTTCCGACGAAGCCTGGAAAATTTCTCATGGAAGCTGCCTCTGTGTGTTTGTGTTAGCATTTAATCAAGCCGTTTATAATCACAAGTAATTTATAATCAAACTGGAAAGGCTGCTTAAATTTAAGCAGTGGAAGGCCGACTTTGAGGGTAACAGCGCAGTGTAAGATGTGCCCTCTCGATCCCAAAGAGTTGGTAAGACGTGAAGGAAATCGCTCTTGCGGGAAAAAAACTCCTTGCAGGGCTGCCCATGGGGGCCCTCTGTGCAATGAAGGCTCAAAATATTTATCACAGGAAAGGGAAAAAACAAACGAGATGAAAA